AATTTGGAGAAAAAGCCAGAATATGACAAGCATGCTCATTTCTGACGTGGAGCTAATCTGAAGTAAACATTGAATACTGCTTTCTGTTCCTCCATCTTTCGACTGAGTAACTCCCTCTCTTGGATATCAGCATGTGAAGGACACTGTTCAGGAACTAGTTGATGCTCTGTATGTGATGACTACTTCCATTCTGGAGAGGATCACAGATACATGGATCCTGAGATTCAAGCTCAAGCCGGGGACCAGTGATATTTCTCTAACAGTGAGCTGTAGACTTCTTCCACAGAGTGATGTTTACCTTGATGTGTTTGGCGAAGGTCTTCTCCTCCTCCGTGAGCTCCACAGCAGCGCTGCTCCCCGAGCTGAAGAACTGAGCTGCAGCGATCATCTTCCCGTCCTCAAACTGCAGATTCTTCACCAGCAGCTGCAGAGAAACACACAGTCAGATGTGAAACCTGTCCCACCTTAAAGTAAGCTATAAAATCATCTGATCAGCGTGGTGTAGGTGTTATGTCAGTCTTATGCCTCATCACATGGTAAGCTATATAATGTGTGTTATTGAGTTTCAGTTTCCTAAATGAGCTGAAAATGTTTAGAGAAGGCCTCAGGTTATAAAAACAGTTAACCTTTGTTAGTTAACTACGCCTAAGGATGTCATGAGATGATGACTTTTCAACATATACAAGTATAGCTTTCAGAGAGAAAAACATGTGACATGTGTGTGGCAGGCTGCATGATCAAATGTGTGTGCGTTAAACATGCTGAGGGGAAATGTGTGTGTGTTCATTGCAGTGGCTATATGTGCTGTATGATTGTTGCTACTGTTGGCAGCAGGTGATGTACTCCCCATTATTGTTTGTTTGTTGCAACAACTAAATAATAATTACTGAGCAGCTGTGTCTATGTCTATGAGTGCTGAATCTCCACAACATAGGCTCAGGAGAAATGTGTCTGATAGAGTTAACAAAAGAAAACACATTTATTTGACTCTTATTTCACACCTTTCTGTGTCTTGTGTTTTTTGCTGTAAACATTTAAATAGCCTGCAGGAAATATACACTCTGACTGATTGGTCTGTCCTTGAATACATTAAGAAGAAGAAAACAACAAGATCATACCGTCTTGCCGTCGTTTCCGAACAGCACGAGGCCAGCTTTGGTGACGATGGCGGGCCGAGAAGCTCCTTGGATCTCCAGAGGCTGACCGTTGGCTGAAGGACCGTTTTCCACCAGACTGGAGCCGTAGAACGTCACTTTCTAAACAAAGAGAGACAGGAAACACGACTTAGACTCTACAGTTGTAACAGTCATTGGAAATATTCTCACTTCTTGTAAATCGGGGCTTAGCAACGGTTAGCAACATATGGAATGTCTAAATTGACCAATTCAGAATCCAGTATTTAATTAAGCCCCGTTATAATGTGTTTAAGCAATAGCTCACGACAGGCCGTGGTATATGCTCATTATATCACAGCTAAGGGGCGTGGTTCGGCCCGACGCGAAGCGGAGGTAGCACAATTCATTATGTTAAACGTTCAAAAGTATCTAGATATTCCTGCCCTAATGCCAAAGGAACTGCACACTGAATATGTTTTGCCGTTTGATGTCTATGTCTGTTGATGTGTAAAAAGGAGGGTTTCTGCCCCGTTACTTCTCCGCTGCTTTCTTGTTCCAGTTTGCTTTTCAGCCTAACTGTTTACTGTGTTTCTCAGGCGCGGAGGGATACTGACTTGTTGTGAAAAGTAACCTACAATTCTACCCGTGGTATACGCTCAGTATATCAAGGCTAAGAACCAATCAGATTGCTTGATTTGACTTGTCCGTTTTATAAAATAGTTATAACATAAGTCAGTCAGCCATTCATATAATGCTCAACAGATTGACCTATTTCATAAAACTAATTCTGTTCTTCATATAAAAATACTTCCA